GAGAGAGAGAGAGAGAGAATGAAGCTGTATTTCTATAAAGGTTGCTCAGTCAAACATTTTGGGTTAAATGAAAATCAAAATATTGTTTTTAAACTCAGTCACAAGTCATTGTGTGTTTATTTATTGTAGGTCACCAGAAGCAGGTTGGTCCAGAGTTGTTTAGAGTCTTCTACACCATCTGGAAAGAGACTGAGGCCGAGGCACAGGAGGTCTGTATGTTTGTTTGTAAGCCTAGATCTTGATTATACAGTAGTGGCATGGCAGTTATATCCACATTCACAGTAGAAAGGGGTAGTGTGACATATAGATGGAAAATCAACATTTCGTGTTTGTCAGCTGATCATAATTTAAATGATAAGCTTATTTTACTTCTGCCTACGGGCATACAAACAGCACCACGAAACAGCATTAGTTTATTTATACATTTCCAGTTTGTTAAGAGGATGATTGTGTTGCAGTAAGACGGTACTCCACAGCTGAGATCTCCTGAATCTGATGGAGAATTGAGAGAGTTGTTCTAAATCTTGGAAGCAAATGATTTATATGTTGCTGATTTCGTTATGTTAACTGCAAACTGAATCAATATGTTTCCTGCTCAATTTTTTCCTTGACCAGTTGACTTTGATTTTCAGGTATGCTTGCCAGCGTCTGTCTTGGAGCACATTGAGCCCAGCGAGTGCGTCTTCAAGCTGTCCTCCTCTGTCAAGACGAGCCGCGGCGTGGGGAAGATCGCTATGACACAGCGGCGGCTCTTCCTGCTGACCGATGGACGACCGGGATACGTGGAGGTGGCACAGTACCGAGATTTAGAGGTGAGACCTTTTGAAATTAGATTTAAAGTGAGCAGAAGAAAAGTTAAGAGGTGAGGAGTTACAGTTCTTTTAATCAGGACTAAAAGCTTGAAAAAATGCACATATATGCCCCCACCAGGTTTAATCAAGTATGTTGATCCAGCCCTGGTCTTTTCCTGTAGGAGGTGAAAGTGTCTTCGGCTCCCTTTCTGCTGTTGCGAATCCCTAGTCTGAAGCTGCGCGTTCGGGGCAGGAAGGATGCGTTCGAGGCCAATTTAAAAACGGAAACTGAGCTATGGAACTTGATGGTCAAAGAGATGTGGGCCGGGCGCAACATGGCTGACCAACACAAGGTAAAGCTGTGTGTGTGTGCGCGTGTGTGTGCGCGTGTGTGTGTGTGTGTGTGTGTGCCAACATGAGGATATACATGTGTGGGAGGAAAGAGAGAATCATACAGACGAATAATTAAATGAGATTATTTGGTGAGTAATTCCTTTATTACTCATAGCATGTCTTTATCTAGGTATAATTTACTCTGTGAGTGTGTGTGTGTGCCAGTTATTGTGAACTTTAGTGACCTTTTGTAGGTGTGGTTGAAATTCCACAAGGCGTGCATGTACATAAATTCAAATACTTGAATAAAGACAGAGGGTTTCCTTTGTGAAACCAGATGATGTAACTGTAACATCTCTGTCTCACACTCTTCTCCTATTGTTAGTCTCATTTCTCTTTTGTGTGTCTGGTACTCCAGTATATATTGAAGATATATCCAGCTTGTTTGGAGCTTGCCACATAAGACAATATAAAAAGACACCTAAATATATTTAAAAAATAGTAAAATATTAGTGTATAGTGTATGATATTAATCAAAAGCTGTTGTAAAAATGTGTAATGAATTGTATCTGGATCTTTGTCTCCAGGACCCCCAGTACATGCAGCAGGCTCTGACCAATGCCCTGTTAATGGACGCAGTAGTGGGCAGCCTTCAGAGCAGTAAGGCCATCTACGCTGCCTCGAAGCTGGCTCACTTTGACCGCATCAAGATGGAAGGTGGTGATGTTAATGCTCATTGTTATAGATTTTGTCTTGTTTGCTTTGCTTTCAGCATCTCGAGCACTATTAAACCCACCCACTTTGTCAACATGGAAGGCATTATAAACTCAGATTGCGTTGATTCAGTTTGATTGCTTCTTTGATGCAACAAAAACACAATTAATGTAGGCTGCGGAGGTTAATGACTTAGTTTCGGTTCCAATTTGCATACTTAGAAACTGTTAAGATTGGTCTGAGATCATTTGGAAACGCTGTGTTCCTTAGCACATAATGACTCATCAGAGGTTGTGTGGAGATTTTTATTGCTGTTTGGGGGTTTTTCAGTGCATTTATGTATTCACCACCTGTGAAAGGCGAGTTAACAGTGGTTTGTGTGTCTCCAGTGCCGATGATGGTTCCCAAGACAACCTCAGAGACATTAAAGCACAAAATTAACCCCTCGCTGGAACTTGCTGCACCTCAGGCTGTGGATGTACTTCTGTACACACCAGGTACAAACACACACACACAAACACACAAACACACACTGCTCCTGCTGAACGAGTCCTGTAGCCAAGCAATCCCTTGAGTATTCATATTAACACTGCGATGACGAAGTGTCAGGTTTCTCCCTCTCGGACCGTTTCACAATCCAGTTTCAACTATGACACCAACACACGGTCACTGACAAATGCACACGCATGACCTTTGCTTTGTCATCACCTCGCTCTCTCTCTCTCTCTC